CCCCAGAACCAGTGGTCCTGTTTTTTTCTCCTCCAGATAGTTTACCCCAGTTGTGTACTGTATTTTCTAATGATAGTGCTTGGTTTTGCAGTTTTATATTTTTTTTTGGAAAGGGCATTAGACAGTTTATGATTTATTTTAAAGTTTCCCAACACTTACCCGTTCACTTTCTTTTTAATCCATGTAATTGGAACATAAATATCTGTTAAACTGGGCATGAAATTCTTAAATTTAATACCGTATTTGATATATACATTTGACTGCTTTTAGCATTTTGATCTATGTTGGTTATTTAACAAATACTTAGTGTGGGCAAAGTACATAACTCAATATTATAACTACTACTTGAAAAAAATTAATATTTTTCTCAGTACAGTAGACCACTCAGTTTAAAATGTTTTTGTCATTATAGGGTAAAGTTCACCTGGAATTAAAACTGAATGAACTGATAACAGACAACGGAACTGTGTGCCAGCAGCTTGTTGTACAGTAAGCATATTTCTTTTATCAAAATCAACTACAAGAAGCCTCCATTTTGTATTGTTTTAATCTTAAACCAACTCTTTATTTGAAATATTTCAGAAACTTTTCCCCCAGAAATTAATCTCTGCTATGCCATTGCTTTAAGTTGATTGTCAGTTTGCTTTTCCTCTTTCTCGTGTACTCAGATTACTGTGAGTCACTAATTCATTCAGATCTTGAATATGGGTTAAAGGATGGCTTATGCATAATTGAGAATGCTTTGTATGCATTGTAGGAGCGCACATATGGGTGCCTAATTGCGTGGTGGAGAAGATTAGGAAAGGGTTTCTAAGTTACTGAGAAGCTCTATTGCAGAACATTGTGGACTTGGAGTTAGAATTAAGTGTTGATTTCTATATGCCTCAAATTCTTATTTATGCTTTCCACCCTCTGGTCATCTATCTATCTATCTATCTATCTATCTATCTATCTATCTATCTATCTATCTATCTATCTATCTATCTAATCTATCTATTCACCCAGACTCTAATACTTTATGTTGTGAAAATCTCCTTTTCAAACCCAATACCCCACCTCTTCCCTCTTACCCAAACTCTTCCTCTGTATTATCAGCAATACCTTAACCATACTTCTGAATGTTTTCTTTCTTTTTCTTAACTGATAGTTGGATGCCCTGTTCAGTGCTGTTTCCTCTTCAGCTTTCTCAAGCTGAAGTTGTGTTTTTTCGCCATCATACCCACTTACTCTAGAACCCAGTAGAGTAGATGTTCTACTTGTACTACTGCTACTCCAGACTTCAATGTATTCTCCTACTTGTGAAAAACTCAGTACAGGAGAGTGAATTAAATGTGGTTCTTCTAGCCAAAGTCTTTAACTCCCACCACACGACCTTTCCTTGCAGTGGGTCTGGTAAGAAGGTAGGGAGAAAATACTGACAGGATTCACCTATGAGTGATTGTGAAAGACTTCCATATAATGCGATCCCGCTGTGTATAAAATGTGTTCTCTGAGAAGCAGGGGGAGGGAATCTCATTACCAGCCAGAGCCAGAAGTGGAGCACACCCTCTGGACATGAGATCCCTGTAGAGTGAACCTCCTGGATCCAGAAGATAGCCATATAACATCAGAGAAGCAGCAATAGAACCAGGATTCAGAGGATGAAACAGAGCAATGGACTTCCCAACCCATGGAGCAAATACAACTGAGTTTTCTTATCTGTAGCAGTGTACATGCGCCAGTCTAGCCAGATTTGTAAAATACAACTAGGGTCATGATAGTGGGGGTTGGGGAGGGGAGGCAGGAAGCAGTAAAGAACTAGACGAATGTTGTGTGCTTCCTTGGTGCCTATACTGCACCCTGGCTGGCTCATTCCTTCCTTGTGGCCCTTTTGTGAGGGGATGTCCTATTGGGTTTTCTGATGCCTGATACCTGATCCTGTCGCCACCTTATGATCACATGGGTTGGTGTGCTTCTTCCATGTGGAGTTTGTTGCTTCCCTGATAAACGACTGCTTGTTTAATTTCAAACCTTTAAAACCCCAGATGCTATATCATCTAATAGCCAGGCACCATCAGCTTTCTTCATCACATTAGCTTAAGCACCCATTTGTCTTCAGAGATTGTGTCAGGAAGGTGAGCAACACAAAATGCCAGGTTATTAAAACAAAGTGTTCTTGCATTGTGGTACTGGTGAAAAATATTGAAAGTACCGGAGACTACCAGGCATATCTGTCTTGTACTTGAGAAGTACAGCCAGAATGTTCCTTAGACTCAAGGACAGTGAAATTTCATCTCATGTACTATGGTCATGTAATCCAGAGGGAGGGACCAGTCTCTAGAAAAAGAAACCATGCTTGGTAAAGTAGAAGGTCCCTGGAAAAAAGCAAGACTTTGAATGAGATGGATTTACAGTGGCTTTAGCAATGGGTTCAAACATAACAAAAAATGTGAGGATGATGCTGAACTAAACAGTGTTTTGTTCTGTTTTACTTGAGTCAGAAGACTCGATCGCACCCAACAACGTGAATACTACTGTTTGTATATGTTGTTTACGTGCTGTCAAGTTGATTCTGCCTTTTGGTGCCCTGTGTATGCAGACTAGAATTGCTCTGAGGGTTTGTCAGAGGCAGCTAGCTAGGCCGTCTTCTGAGGTGCTCCTGGGTAGGTTCAAACTGCCGTCTTTCAGCTACTAATCAAGTGCTTATCCACTTGCTTCCCCCAAGAGCTTCTTGTTCATATAGTTCATCTTTTCCCCGATCATTTGAGTGAAGCTTGCATATAGTATGATTCTTTACCCATTAACATATCCATGTATATTTCTGAAGAACAAAGATCGTTCCTTAAAAGAACAGTATAGTTGTTGAATCTACCATTATTCTGATAACTCTAATTGACAATGAATAAATCCTTAATTTTGTCTGATGACCTTCTGATGTCCTTTGTGTCACTCCCCCCCCCCCAAGAATGTATCTAGCCCAGGATCACATCTTGAGTTTAGTTGTCATGTCATTTTATTTTCCTTAAATCTGGAATTGTTCTTCATTGTAGTGATATATTTTGAAGAATACAGGCTGTATATCTTTTTGAATATTCTTTAATCTGGATTTCCCTACCAAAATCAGTTCAAGATTTGTTGGAAACTTTAGTTATTGTAACTGTTGTTTTAATGCCCCTAGGCCGAAAACACATTTTGAAAATATTTGGATTGGTTACTCTTCCACCACTCCATCCCTTCCTTAACTTTGTTTATGACTTTCATTTGAAATACTCATATAATTGCTTGGATGGATTTATTTGTTAGCATTCAGTTTAAGGTTGTGTGCCCCGCGCCCCATGCTTTTAGGTTTAATTTGGGAGGGGGTGGAATTTTACAAAATTGTTTTAATATGAGAAGATTTCCAGGGTATCAAGGCATCAATCGGAGATGTGGGTCAATTCTTTCTCCCCTAACCCAGCCCCAGTAGCTACAGTATCATTCCTGTCTTCATAGTTTCCCTTTTCCAAAATCTATAAATAGAATCATTTAGTATACAATGTTTTGTGTCTTTTTTTTCACTTAGCATCATGTTTGGAGATTCATCCACATTGTTGCATATATTATTGAATATATGTGTGTTTATTTATATATAATTACATTTATTTCTTAGCTTGGCTGATAGTGTTATCACCATTTTGCAAATAAACAAACTGATGCCGATTGCTAGAGAAGTCCTGATTCACACAAGGAGTGATAGAGTCTGGATTTGAACTCAGTTAGTTTGATTCTCTTTTTGACTTATTATTTTGAAGTAATTAGAGTCACAGAAGTTGCAAAGGTAGTTTAGAGAGGTCCTGTGTACCTTTCACCCATTTCCCACCAATCTGGCATCATCAAAACTGGTAAATTGATCTTGGAATATTGTGTGTTTTATTATCACTTTTTTCACTAGTAGATTTGTATAAGGAGTCCTGGTGGCAGTGACCATAAAGCCAGCAGTTCGAAACCACCAACTGCTGCATGGGAGAAAGTTGGGACTTTCTACTCCTCTAAAGAATTACAATCTTAAAAACTTAAGGGGCAGTTCCACCTTGTCTGATAGGATCCCTATGAGTAGGCATCAACTTGATGACTGAGTTTGGTTTAGTTTGGGAGATTTGTGTATTAAATTGCAGTCAAGGTACAGATCTCCTTGGTGCATCCAGGCCTCTGTCTACCATCTCTATCCCTTGGCAACCACTACTGTATTTTCATAGCTATAATTTTGTCACCTAATCAGTGTCATGATGCCCTGTACATATTATTTGTGACTTTTGGAGATTGACTTTTTTTTTTTTTTAACTTAGATCCATCCAAATTGTTGCATGCTGCTGCTTATAGACAGCAATGTAGCTGTGGCATTACTGTTTTGTGGCACTATTCTAGCTTTTGTTTTGTTTATTAATTTGTGAGTTTATGCCATTTACTTCTTTAGTATATGTGCAGCCAGAGTGAGCGCTATATAATATATTTTTAATATAATTAACTATTGGTTTTTAAGGCTAAAGCTGCCATTTATTTAATTTTTTACTTCTGCTTGTTTTTCTATTTTGTTTTTCCTGACTTGCTGTGCATTGCTTGAACATTTTTAGAATTTGTTTTATTTATGTATTTTTCTATCTACAAG